TTTTTTTTTTTGTTCAGCCCGACTCCCACGGCCACCCGACACCCAACCACCCGAAAATCACGCCCGACCCCCCCCTCGAAGACCCCGTACGGACGGCTGGAATCCCGTACGTATGGGCCGTATGCACGGTAGGGGTCCCGTACGTACGGTCGTACGGGAGTACGTACGGGCCGTATACGTACGAATGTACACACAGACGTGACTGCGTCAATCACACTGCAGTGGGTAAGTCTCGCAAACATATCCTTAACGTCGTAACTCCTGACGAGAGCTCCACCACATTCTCTCGACAAATCTACCTGGATATGTTCACACTTCTTCTTGAGGCCGTCCGTAGCTCGCAAATCAAATTGATTGGAGTCATTCCTACATAGCAGCATAAATCTAATTGCCCTGCCCATCGTTGATCCAACCAAACTGGCTGGATCTTTGGTGGCTGGAGAAATCGGCCCATCTTTCAACATCCTTCTCTTTCGGAAGCACGTATGCATGTCCGATCCTTCCTCCTTTACCCCACATAGCTACAGACTTGAGCCCAGCTTGCACATAACTGTCCTTCATCCTCCTCATCAGTTCGTCTTCATTCTTGTCAACGATAAGGAAACTATGATTCCAATTGAAAGTCATTTTGCACGCGTGCAAATACAAAACTGGACAGATGATCAGCATCGCCCCGGGGTTCCTGTCAATTGGCACGGTGACCAGGTTCTGAATGATTTTGGACCACTCCCGCACTTCTTTACTCGTCATCCCTCGGACCTCCCTTCTCCCTTCCTTCCTTAAGCACGTCTCAACCAGTTTCTCATCAATCTTCACGCATCTCTTCCCACTCCATGGCTTCACTGCTTCCTTAATACAGCTCTGGAGCCTCTCGGAGGATACACTATCACTCCATGTGACATTCCTTGAATTCTTGACGAAAGTCGGAGCTTCCTGCAGATCGTCTAGTCTTACCTTAACGTGCCCGCGGGACCTGGGCCATCGGTAATCTACGCAAGTACACTGTACTGCCTGCACTTTGGCACATACTCTTTGGCTGTGGATGGTCTGCCCAACGGTTGGCCTTCTTGTGTACACCACTCGTATCCTCTGGACCAGATACGCCCGCAAATGTGACTCATGCACCATCTCCTCAATTACTCCTGAGGTCGTGTTCTTTAGCTTCGCGGTATCTACAACCGTGGCGAAAGGAATTTTCAGCAGCGGCCTCTTTCTGATGTCGGTGCCGAAAACTGCTCTCATGGCCTTCGCGTTCCTCTTCAGCTGGAGTCTCGTAATTTTTTTTCCGAACAGTGATGTTGTCTTATATAGGGCTAACATCTCCTTAGCATTCTTCTTATACACCATCTTGATCCTCCACGGTTGTCTTAAGAGATCTCTTAAGATATACTTCTGGTGCTCAATACTAGACGGCAGGATATCTATCCTTACGATGCGGAATATCCCCCCTGCTTCGAACTCCCTCTTGCATTCCTTCATTGGTTTGTCTCTTCCCTGAACGGTAATGATACTCTCACCTACTTTGGATTTCACCACCCTCCATCTATCCACCCATACTTCCCCACCGGTCGAGATAATTTCGTGAGGTAGCGGTTTGTTCCTCCAGTCCTTCAGCAAATTGATGATCGATGCTCTATCGTTAAAACTGATGACCCTCCCGCAACCTACGTTCGACTTCCTCTTCCCTCTTTCCCTCTTCCCTTTCCTCTTTCTCCGCTTTCCGCGATCTGCGCGGCCCTGAGTGTTCAGTGCTGGGGAGAATCTCTTAATTAATGCGCTCTCAACCATCAATGGATCGGAGATATCGGTGACAATTGGCAGAATGAGGTAATTATGCCACCCACAGACTCTGAGTCAGGCATGCAGCTTTGCTGCGTTCCCAAGTTTCCCGGATACAGCGAAGTTCACATGCTCGTTCCATCTCAATATAAAGCTCCCACTGGTGCAACCAATGTAAAAATGTCTGCACCAGGGACTGACTAGTACGAAAACCCTTTTCCCTCTGGTGGATAGTATCCCCCCTTCTCCTATCAGCACCACCCATTTCTTTGCCCATTGGCATTCACCCCTAATTACGATCAGCAAAAAAAGTCTCAGGATCGCATCTTTCGTTTCAACCCTTAGGCCAAACTTCCCCTCGTTTCTCCACCTATCCCTGGTCATCATCAATCCCTTCAGCCTGCCTAAAAACTCCATTGTTCCTTACCTCCTAGAGATGGATTCAACGGGCTCACCGTATGCAAGCCTTGTTCGACATCTTACCAGTTCACTAACGACATCGTACTTCTTCGTCCACTCGACACCTTCTTCATTACAAATTTTCCGAAGTTCGGGTGCTCGTTTGGCTGATAGTTGCTGGTGCATCTCGAGGGCAAAATCAAGAATTTTTCCATTACTCACTCCGAAGTCGTAGTTCCTCCGAGCTGGAGGGGTCCTTACTTCGCCCATGGAGTCATCATCTTCAACCAGAATCGGCGCTGCCCTGGTCATCTTCTTTCACACAATGGCTGGAAGTTTCTCTACTATACTCTTCCTTTTCCCTCTCCTTTTCTCTATGGCGTCGACCAGGCGCCCCGCTTCTTCTCTTACCTCTTCGCTCTCATCTTCGGATTCGTCAAGATAGCTCCTGATCTCTCGGAGTACCCTAACCTTTGTACCTGGTGACTTCTTCTTTACTGGCAAAGGGGCCGCGTTTGGTGCTGTCCTCGTTTGCTGGGTTACCAATCTGAGCAGTCTTGCTTCGAGTCTTGCTTTTCGTGCTTCAGCCTCTCGTAGTCGGTCCACTTCTTTCCTATCATCTTCCTCCCTCCGCCTTCTCTCCTCTTCCTGTTGGGCTAGTTTCTCCTCCGCAGCTTTTTGTTTCTGGATTTTCTTTCGAAAATACGCCCGCATCTCACTGGCCTCCTCATCCAATCCGCCCACCGGTATCGGCTGTTGAAACTGTTGCGGGGGGTGACCATTCCCCCCGGCCCAACAATTTCTGGCGTAGTGGCCATTCTTCCCGCATATATAGCATGTCACTGTCATCGGTTGACTAATGTTATGTCCATGTGGCATCTGAGCGGCCGCTCCGTATCCTACCGCTGGATTCTGATTCGCCATCTCTTATCTACCTCTCCTATCCTGCCTCCTTCTTCTAAACCTCTGATTCCTAATTAAACACCCTATGCTATGCACGCGCCCGAATACTGATTCTAATTCACGGACCAGTTCTTCCTTGGTATCTCCGTCTTGAAAGTGCAAGGCTTTGAATATCATAGGAGTAAGATTGTACTCGATGATTCTCTGAAGCTCTACCCACTGGCGCTCAAGTTCTAGCTCTCGAAAATTCCTCCTCGACATCACTATCTACCTTTCTCCGACTCGTCTCCAGGAAACAAAAATGTGCACTTCGATACTCCACGCAGTTCTTCTTACATGCTCCTCCGTACTTCGGATTAGCACAAGGCTACTTCACACGAAGGCGGCAATCCAACTTAAGCGGATCAGCCGTTTCGCCAGGACGCCGTTCATCACCTTTTAGGCATCATCTTTGGAAACGATCACGTTCCAAACGACTGCCACGTCAGCCCCAATAAGGTCTACGCGGACAGGTCCCGCACTAAACAGCGCTGGAGACCCCATCCTTTGTTGGCTCCCCCGATCACACGAGATCGCTTGACGCCGAAGTCCTTCGTAGCCACCAATCTAGTGTCCCAACACGATGGTTACCACGATTACAGAGATTTAAGATAGAAAGAGAAGAAGAAGATAAGAGGAGAAGTAAGAGGTTGCACCCGTCACTCAAGAAAAAACTCGGTTTTTTGGCGAAAGAATAACTCATTAAAACCAGAACACGATGCCTCGACGCGTTTCGTTGCCGGCGTCCGACGACAAGCTCATCAGGAGGCTCTAACCAAAAGCCCACGACCATATGGCAAAGTGCAACCTTCTTCTCTTAAATACT